AGATTCATTACTGGCCCCGGAATCATTCTCGCGATCTCAGCGATTTGCTGACACCCAAACGTCGCGAAATTAGAGCCTCACAAGGCCCTTATTTTCACTTTTTCCAGGGGCAAGCGACCGCCAGCCAGCCCTGACACGCGTCGTGCCAATAAGGGGCGAGACAGACGCGCGATTTTTAGCATTGGGGATGTTTTAGCAGAATGAGTATTGCACACGAATTACGAAACTTCGTTAACTTCGTTGTTTTAGGAGTGGATTACCACAATATCTAATCGGTAGTAACTACACTGACACCGTTAGGCTACTTGTCGCTTCAATGAAATGGCTTATTTAATTGACTCAGTTACTACTTTTTAAAATGGTCAAAGTTGCAACGTAGGAAATAATTATTTGTCTTCGTTTTTTGTGCCCCTATCTACGCGCTCCTTTTTAATGGTGAAAGAGTACTAGAGTCCTTACAGAACTGCCTCTCTACATCAAGGCCTTATATTGAGCCAATTATTTTGGTGGTTTCTTTAGTTCAAAATTAGAATCCATTTTTTCATTTGTTGTTTTGATACCAAAATAATGTATTTTATTTTCTTTATTATTTTATAGGGACGTGACTAAGTCCTTCTCAGACATGTCAAGCAAATAATTGCTAAAACTACCCCTCACTTAATTGTCTGTCGCCACGACCTACAGCTTGACCGCCAATAAAACCTAACAAGTGAAGGATAAGACGTCTAGGGGGAAAGTCAAACTGTCATTGGACCCGAACCGAAAAATAATCTGAAGAAATTGGAACCTACTGATCAATGCCAAGCTGATGAAGATGATAAAGTAGCGCAAGCAGTGAAAATTTGTGAAGATCTTTCTTACTTTTTCACTCAAAAACTACATGACAGATTTTGATGAAACTTTTCAGTATTACTGTTTAATCAGAACAACAGACAGGCTAGGTACGAATTTGAAGCAGACGAAGTGGCGGGATAAAGCTAGTCTGCCATAACTCAAAGATAAATCGGAGGCCGTAGCCGCAAGCTGCACAGGTCAACCTAAACTGGGCAACTCCAAGTCCGTATCAGCAAAAATTCCCCGCCTACAAAAATTGCGGTAGGATTTCCCCCATCTGTTTCTTTATTTCGTTACTTTTTCCTATATCCGTTTATTGGTACGGAGGCTTAAGGAGTAATTTATGTGTTGCCAACTCGAATGAACGCTTGTTCCACTCATTCTGGGTAGTAATTGATATTTTTGGAGGTTGTGATTTGTTGGTTGCAGCTGGGGTATTGCGCAGGTTTACTATTTAGAATTGGAATAAGGTTTTGATGAAATTAGCTATTATTTCGTTTCAGCCATATGCCTTCCAGTGCTAGACAAAGCCCACCCCTAAGGATCGGTCGTACGCTGCCCGGTGCTTCCTGCGATCTTCACTAGATCGTCGGTTCACCTAGTGAAAGGTCTGCTGCGTCTTACGCCAATTGAGAACTTTTCTGCCCAAACAGCCATCAGTTCTGTGTGTTCAATAAAGAGTCTCTATCTATCTATCTATCGTCCACTAAGACCGGTCCTACGCTGCCTGCACCCATTGCAAAAACATAGATGTTATGAGTATTTTTTGGTCATTTTAAACATAGATCCAGGTGCTTCCTGCTACCTATACCAGATCATCCGTTCACCGAATGGTGGCCTGCCTACACTTCGTTTTCCGATCCATGGTAGGGGATCTGGTGAGGGTTTCTGGAAGCACCTGGATGCGGGCAACGTAGGACCAATCGTTTTGGAAATCCTGAAGGAGGCCTTTGTTCAGCAGTGAATAGCTTTTAGCATAAACGAATTCAAATTCAAAAATTCAAATTCAAATTCAAAACGTTACTTGCTAAAAACACAGTAATACAGGGTGACAATATTAAAATAGGATCATGTGTTTAGTCTGATCACAGACGTGCAAAAATTATAGGATTCAATAATATAAATGTCAAATGATTAAAAAAAAATGTCAATGTAAAATATTTAATTTTACATTGACATTTTTAATTTCAATAGTACCTATCAATGTCGCCAATTAAAATATTCCTTACAAAAATTATCAAATCAAATATGTCATCTATATAAATAAAAATTAATTGTTGTTCGTTAGTCTGATTAAAATTCTATTGTTCGTCGAGATATTCCCTGACTGAATAATAGCACTTAGTTAATAGCCAGGCGTGTATTTGTCTTTTAAAAGACAGCAAAGGTAGATCTTTGAACTTATCAGGTAATCGAAGGAACTAAGGAAGGAACTAACGAAACACAGATACTGGTAATTATTCAAGTATAAGCTAGAAACAGACTACAAAATCTGCATGCATTTGTAAAAAAATGTCCCCACATGTATTCGAACTCGTAGCCGAACCAAACAAAACAATTTGTGCCAAAGGCTCAGTCTTAGACGCTGCTGGTGATTTCACAAAGGCAACATTTTTACCTCTAATATAGAAATTATGCAGACAAAATAGCCACCAAGGAAAAGTTTCACCATAAAATCTGGAATAGGCGCTGGTTTAATCGTCGCATCAAATTATCTCATTTTTGGGGATAGAGGGAACAAGCACAACTTAAATACATGCAGTAGGGTCATTTCATACAGTACAGATGATGGTAAACGCAAAGTAAACGCCATGGGATCTTATGTAGTTGATATAGGGGACAATTTTCAACAAAAATATGTACAATCTGATGAGCTATTGTATGTATAGTTGATAGAACATCATGCTAAACTTCATTGCAATATAGCTTCTAATTATCGTAAGGTCTCACACTGTTTCTCCTAAGATTCAGTATCTACTGTACATATTTTACGTCCTTGATTTGTTGATATACAAAACCCGACTAAAGAAAAAGTTAGAAAATTACTGAAACACCGGTCTTGGAAAAATCCTTAGGGAAGATATTTGTCCAGCTTTGGGCTGTATGTTGAAAAGGAGGATTCTATGACACCTGAGGATCTAAACAATAACATTGAGTCTTCATTTCGGAATCGCTTCAACGGAGCGAAGTAACTAGATACAAAGAAATACCGGACCGAAGCAATTTCGGAATTACAACTGTCACGTTTTTAACTTTGAACGTGACTGTAATGAACCTACTCAGTTCTAGTCTATTCTGCAACAGTTATGGAAATAAATTGGCCATTACAAGGTAACAGACTTTTACGTTTTAATACATTGGAAACGATAATACTGTTTGCCAAACGGCTTGGTAAATTAAGACTTAGTAAGTACCGAAGATTTGTGGCATCTTAACTGGGTTAGTATAAACGAGTTCAAAGTTTCCCGTAATGGGTTTGAGTTTAGATCACGTTAATGAGGTGCTGGGTTAATTTTGAGTTGACACACGATTTTGGTCTTAATTAGTCATCATTGTCAAGAAGATTTCGACGAAATTACTGTTAATTCTATTCAATTCCTAAATTGAGAAACAATTTTGCATTAATTTTGGTGTATATGCTGACACGCGTTTCTGGTCATAATAATTGGTTACCATTATCAAGCAGTTTTCAACGAAATCTCATCAAATCATCATATCACAGCACAGTGTTGCTGCTAGTGACATCTTGCTCGCTCAGTCCTTTGTTGCTCTATTCTGCTAGGTAAATTAACTTTACTAACAGTGCCCACGACTTCGTACGCTTGAAAATCATTTTTGCTCTGCACCATTTACTCGTAGCGTGATGGTATATAGCCTATACAGGGTGTTAGGTAAATGGGTATATGAGCCGACACTAGCCCATGTGAACATGGGCATATAAATGGTATGGTGAAGTCAGAAATTTGATATCAACATTTTAATTTTTTTAATATTCATACAAAATAAATTTTATAAATCCGATTTGTATGAAAAATAAAATAATTAAAATTAAGATATTTTTCTGATTTCACCGTACCATTTATATGACCATGGTAACATGGGCTAGTGTCGGCTCATATGCCCATTTATCTAACACCCTGTATAGCCTTCCTCGATATATGGGCTATCTAACACTGAAATAATTTTTCAAATCGGACCGGTAGTTGCTGAGATTAGCGCGTTCAAGTAAACAAACAAACAAACAAACAAACTCTTCAGCTTTATAATATTAGTATAGATTGTACTGATTAACAGCCTGACCCAAAGTCTGTGGTCTGCGCCTAAGCTTGGGGTGCTGTTTTGGAAAATAATCCAGTTATTCTGATGCTTTATTAACTTTACCCAAATAACCCTATTCCAAAATAACCTTTAAGGTATTAAAACATTAAGTTGTAGTTATTTATAGACTTGACTTTAAGAGGTTAAGGCAAGTTAACGAACTTGTGCCAGAATTTCCGAAAATGAACGGGAATCTCGACAGTTTAAACTTTGCATCCCACTTTGTGTCGGTCGGAGTATGTTAGTGTTAAATTGAAGATTATGTCTGTTGGAGGGTTAAATTTTGTGCTGTTTATGTCTGATGGAGAGTTAAAATTTTGTGCTATATTTATTTCATATCTTGTTATTACATGGCTAGTTCTAATGCCACAGACATGACTTGCAAAGATGCACAACTAACGATATAAAGGATTGAAAATACCTAATTTTCTGTTAAGAGAATCGAGATAATCTCTAACGACGATAACTCCACGATAGATGAAAAAGAAGATGCAATAAAACGAGGCAATAAATATCTTATACAAATAATTCGCGCGATGTCAGGCTAACGTTTATACGCGTGCAAGGAACGCTTTCTATTTCATCATCATCATCAGTTCAGCCACAGGAAGTCCACTGTTGAACATAGGCCTCCCCCATAGACTTCCACGTCGCACGGTTGACAGCAGCCTGCATCCAGCGACTTCCTGATACCTTTATCAGGTCGTCGGTACACCCTGTGAGTGGAGTTCCATTTAAAAAAGTATTTTAAACAAGTGCGTCAGTCAGAGCTATATATTAGATATTGATATGGATTGTCTTTTATAATAAAAAATTCTTAAAGATATTCTTAAAATATTAAGTCTTACCTGCAACTTTATAGCTGTGGATCTGTACGTCCTGTCTGCTGTATTTTGAGCCTGACAGGTGAAGGTCTGGTTGTGGTGATGTCTTCTAGGCCGGAGATGGAGAATCGATCTAGAAAGAAACATCAGTGATCATCCTCATAAGGCTACGTAGGACCTATTCATCATCATCATCATCATTTCACCCACAGGACGTCCACTGCTGAACATAGGCCTCCCTCAATGATTTCCAGATTGCCCGGTTGGCAGCGACCTGTATCCAGTGCCATCCTACATTTCCCGAATGTACAGTCACTGTCAAATATTTCGTGACACCCAAAGTGGCCAACTTAAACTAAATTCTTATCACAATTTCTAATGTTCAATGGTCTACTTACTAAAGGTTTCTGATGTTGATTGTATGATTTGCAGATAATCTTCTGAAGTTGCAATATGTGCTACTTTGCTACTACTACCACAGAATAATAATAAGTACTACGTACAGAAGTTTTACTTCGGGAAGGTATTTAAAAAAAAATATGCTCAATGTCATTAACAATATGGTGTAATTTAGCCTGTCTCAAGAGTCAAGTACCATTTTGTTGACAAACGTCAGTGATCGGCACTGCGCCGAAGCTATAGGGCTGACTTCGGTAAAAAGATGTGACGTGAGGTGCCAAACTGCGGAAAATGGCGGAGGAAATTACATGATTTAGCATGAATTATCATGAATAATTTTAACTACTTATTTACCTCTCAGTGTCTTGAGGCAACTTAAAACTACGGAACCCTAAAAGTACATTCTGTGTTTTTATTTTTATTTAGGCAGTTAATTACACCAATTTCTTTATTTTCTTCCACCATACACAAGAATACGCGTGCGTGAGTCAATGTTCGCTCGTATGTGAGGCCTTGTCGAATAGTCTCCTGTAGGTGGGCCATCGTGCGTGTTTTGTTTTCTATGTAAACTCGCGGAGATGAACAGGCCTGCTACTACTACTAGTAGTCTGTAATCTATTATTCTTACCTGGCTGTGTATCTTCGTCCATCTGCCAAAGGTTCTGCAGTATACGTGACCCCTTGTGTCAGAACACCGCCATCATCATCCACCCATGTGATCTGAAAAAAATATAAATTAATCTAACACAAGCATTATTAATTGCTTACTTTGGGGCTAGATGACGTTGTGAAATTGTCCAAAGATATTTATTTTTTGATTTATTTATTAATTAATCTAAACTGACTGAGTTCATGTAATAAAAAGTAATGATAGAATCTAAGACATTTATTGTAGTCATTATCTTGCAAACGATTAGGTATTTGAAACAGTTTATCTAATTCTAAAGCACACGTTTTCAAGAACACAATATCATTCTGATATTAAATACTCATTTAGTTTTAGACTAATTTATAAGTTTTTTTTATCAGTTTTTTTTATGCATAACAAGGCAGGTATTTGACTACAATCGCTTTTAGTTACTTTGAAATAGGTAAAGAATAACGTCTTTTTTGGCTAAATAGTGACATCTTCAGCATTGTATACCTACCATAAAATCCACTTGAAACTATAAAAATGTTTTCAATACTATTATTAATATTTNTTCAGATACTGTAAAAATCACGAAAAATAATATTTGTATTGAATTTTGTTCAATTTACAAAGCTAAAAATATATAAATTACACCAAAAATGTTAGATTTTTTTTTAAACTTTTTAACAACGTCCCGTACCAGGTGGGGTGTGTGACACCCACACGCACTTTAAAGGCATGTAACTCAGTTGGTAGTCACCGCTGGACTGATTTTGCAACGCTGTTTGAAGCAGCAGTGTCATAATTCCAGCTACTGAGAATTTCAAATTCAGCACTTGCAAATTTTTAAAATTGTGGCTATTTTTAAAGTACTGGGGTGTGTCACACCCCACCTCGTACAGCGAGGGTTAAACTAAATTCTTATCACAATTTCTAATGTTCAATGGTCTACTTACTAAAGGTTTCTGATGTTGATTTTATGATTTGCAGATAACCTTCTGAAGTTGCAATACGTGCTACTTTGCAACAAACATGTATAACTAGTCTGTAATATATTATTCTTACCTGGCTGTGTATCTTCGTCCATCTGCCAAAGGTTCTGCAGTGTACGTGACCCCTTGAGTCAGAACACCGCCATCATCATCCACCCATGTGATCTAGAAAAAAATAATAAGTCTATCTAAGTGCTCACTTTAAGCTTTTTACAAGGAAAATCTATATGATGGGAATCTACCATCATTTTTCAAGTAATTTTCATTCTTATTTTAAGCACCAAATGTTGTTTAATGTTTCTATGATTGTTAATATTAAGCACACAATTTTTTTCACTTTTAAGTGTTCCTGCTGAACTCATTTGAAGAGAAGATAGTAATAAAATAGGCAGAAATGAAAAGCAACTTTTTTGTGTACCTATAGATCGTTTCATCCACGAAGACGCGCCCCACAATCTTCCACTAATGTTTGAGTGTTATCGGTACACGCTAAATTATCCATGAGTGCAAACGCACACTACAATAAAACGCTCGGATTGCTCGGATCAAACTCCCCGTACCACGCGCTTCCCTCGACCAAAAATTGGTGGGATGTGTCTTCGTGGATGAAACGATCTATATTAAGAGACTNTAATATTTACCTCAGCAGCTGGTTTCCCACCAACAGAGACGCATTCCAAATTGACTTCGCTATCCTCAACTGCTTGCAGGACCGAACCTTGCAGGATCTTCGGAGGGTCAGGAGGAGTGAGGATAATCAGACGAGCATACCTCGAACGAATAGCTGGTTCTCCTGTAGAAGAAACAACACCATCAAAATCTTCATCAGGACATTTAAGGACGAAGTACACTTATAAACCCGGAAATGGATCGTAACCGTATCAACTCAAGGCGGTTAGTATTCTTTGTATGAAACTCCGTACTGCAACGCACACAGTCTTATTCGCACCGTAAGGCGAAAGGTGATACGGTGTTGATCCCTTTCCGGGTTGATAAGTGTGCTATGACCTTTAGTCTCGACTACAGTAGCACGGCCCTCTCTTATCAGTCCCTAGGTTTAGGGGCCTGATGTTCATACATTTGTCGCTTTGTTAATCATTTCATTTACGAGAGTGAAACAAGCAAATATTGCTTTGTAATTACTTCAAATATGTAAGTACCTCTTAATTAAATTCAACATTTCAATGATACAACAATGTAGCAAATAATTGCAAAGAACTACGTTTTCTTCCTATAAAAGCTAGCTTTAAATTGGCACACAACCACGTTGGCAAACAAATAAAGAAAAACAGACCCGTTTCCTGCTGCATCGTACAAAATAAGTAACCAATCTAAATAAGTATTTCAGGAAGAAAAGAGGATAGAAGCCGCAGCTAGTCGCCATTTTAATGTATTTTTTATGCTACAGCAAGGCCTACCTCGCTAAATTCTTATCGAATGCGAGATCTTAATAGGTTTACAGTCCAGGAACATTTTATAGCGCTTTTATAGTACCATTGTATTTTAAGTGGCAAGGAAATACGGAGTAAGTTTTATAGAAACATATTTTTATGGTGTTAGTACGTTGTTTGTATTAACAACCGTAGGTGATAAAGAGGTTGGAGGTAAATGTTAAACAAGTAAATAATAGATTAAAGAAAGTAAATTGTCTAATGAACACTGCAAAACTAATGATTGTATAACTTAAAATTACTTCAAAAGTATTTCTACAGAGAGAGATAGAGAAAGAAAATACTTTCAAAATACAAAGTGGTTGCATGAAATCCAACTTAGCCACTAAATAACTTAAATCATCTGTCTATCTACATATTACTTTACTAGTTTTCCGCCCGCGGCTTGTTTTCAAAACCGGGATGAAAACTATCCTATGTCCTTTCCCGGGACCCAAACTATCTCTATGCCAAATTTCATCAAAATCGGTTAAGTGGTTTAGGCGTAAAAGCAAGACAGACAGACAGAGTATAGATTCATTAGATTAGACAAACAGTGAAGCAATGTACATTACTTTATACAATTCAATACTTCTTACTACTCAAACTAAGTAAAATAAAGTGCCAATACATTGTTGATTCAAACCAGAGTTCTTAACTTTAAAGAGAGTCGTAAAATTTACTACACTGTACTAATTACTAGCCTTGAAAAATCCCACGAAACGAAGCAATCGTCAGTAGTTGTCAGTAAGCAACTTAATCGCCTAAAGTTAAACCCAAACTACCCTCCAACGGACAGGGAAAAAATCCCAAACTTCCCCTTCCAAAACCATTAACCCAGAGTTTCAAACTATTAGAATAAATCAGAACCACCAACTATGCTCGTAATATATAAAGAGTTAACGAGTCCATTCACAACTTCGTGCGGGTAGACGAAGTTTTAAACACAACCGAAGGGCGCTTTTTGTTGGGAATGCTCGTTGATGTTATAATGATGTCGTCCATACACGTTTTAGTGTTTTTGGGCTAGTTGAACAAATATTTGGACAATAGCTTACGCATTGTTAATTAATTGTTACTGAGATGGAAAAAAATCATGGACAGTGTAAGTTTTTACAGTGATAGATAGGTACTTATCTATAATAATGTAACAATTCTAGTAATTGCTAAATCTGAAAATTATTTATAAAGGACTGAAATCTATATTTGGTAATAGATGGTTAGTAAAAGTTTTAAGGTGATGATGGTGATGATGATGGCAATGTTGTTGATGATGTTGATGATTATGAACAAAAGTTTGATCATGTGGTTCTGGCAAAGGCAAATAACATAGGCACTCCTACTCGTCCCGCAGATGTCGTAAAGTTGGTTACCAGACTTATATTATGCGAACACAGACCTCTTCAGCCTATTAAAATTTGGCCAGCACTGCAGTATAGAGTGTCTACTACACAAAAAAGGTTTGATAATTTTTACTGTGAAACTCAGTAATATATTCATAACAGAAGTACGCTATCCATTCAGTACCCAGTTCTTAGGGCCCCAATAAATTTGCTCAATACATCCGCTTACAGCTCACACTGTTGTGAGCTGTTTGTCATCAAATTCGTATCAAGGGACCCGAATTTATAGCCGAGCTTAGTCTCAGTCAAGTTGCTTGGAAATCCGACCTGTGTTGAGATTCAGCAAGTTTATTGTAATTCTAAGTTGACAAATACATTTATAATTGTGAACGCTACCTGCTTAATGTGGAAACTTTGGGAATAGAACATTACAATTTACAATGATAGTATTTCATAAGAATGATTAATTATAATATGAGTAGCAATAATGCTTCTTAGTAATTTACAATTTAAGATTTAATTTTCGGATTTATCTAGTCTATTCTGTAACTTCTAGATATCGTTTGATAGAGCTCGTGAAGTACTTTCAGGATATTATTATGTAACCAGTTTTTCAATATCTTGTAATAGTTTAGAAATAATCGAGTGAGATCATTTGTCTTTTCCACCCTGTATTTAAATGCTGACATGAATTTAAGAGAGGATCAGTAACCAGTTTTTCGATATTTATATAGTTTAGAAATAATCAAGTGAGATCACACTTATCGCTTCCACCCTGTATGTAAATGATAACATGAGTAAGAAGTTATTAATTTAGATGGACGTACGTCAGTATGACATACTTTCAGGATATTATTATGTAACCAGTTTTTCAATATCTTGTAATAGTTTAGAAAAATATAATGGGTCGAGTGAGATCACTTATCGTTTCCACCCTGTAGGTATGTAGATTATAACATGAGTAAGAAATTAATAATTTAGATATCGTATGAGTCGCAAGTAAATATTAAAAGATACCCTGAATCGCAAAATTATTGAACAATTTTGAGACTGCAAACAAAATGTAACACCTTTTTCTCAGTCACTCGGAATAGCATCTCCCGTTGCTCCCACTGGGTTTACCCCACAAATTATAAATGAGAAACACAATCCTTGGTAATCAGTTGCTAACTTAGTCTTGATTAGTGTTGCCAGATGTCTCTGTCAGCTTGTTTTTGGGAATTCTTTCGGGATTCCTTCTTTAATAATGTTGCCAGGTAATTTGCTTTCTAGCGGAATTATGAAGGGATTTNAGGGATTATGGTGTTCAGGTTGTTGTTTTTTTAGTTGGTTGTGTTTTGAAATTTGTGATGTAGTTAAGTAGCTAAAGTATTGCACTACTAGGGTGTATGTTTGGAGACTTAAAGAGATAATTTGTATTAAAATTGTGGAGATTTTGACGATGTATTTTATTAGAAATATGATTTAATTATTTTATTATCATTTCTGCCACAGGGCGTCCACTGCTGAATATATACCTCCAAATCCCAATGATTTCCAGACTACTTACTATTATTGTATAGTTTTCTCCCTATCCTTTTCGAATCATATTGTGAACTACAACGGTTCACTTGTTACTTATCAATAACTATAAGAAAACGTTAATAAGTATCACACGAGTGCATACTTGAAAACGATATTGAAAAAGCACTTCTAACCATCAAAGGCGATAGTTGTGTCACCGTACAAAATGGCACAAGTTTCGCTAGTGCTTGTTTAAATTCGTCTCTGGTCTGCTTTTGGTCCAAAGGAAGAAATGTTGGCGGCCAAATGTTTCCCACCATTCATTTTGTATGAAATTTGCTATAACAGGCATTTATTATTATAGGTTCCTGCAATCTTTATATCTATTCACATTATAGATATATACGTCCTACACTATGCTTGCAAGTACATGACCTCTGCTGTTGTATGGCGGCCATATTAGCATGACACACCGGACGCAGGGCGGTAGCAGCGCGTTGAAAGCGGTTTTCGAATATTTAAATTTTTGACAACCGCCCGCATTGCAACTGCTTTGAAACTGCGCTGCTTTCAGTGTGCCTCAGCCACGCTGCAACTGACCCGCACTGCTTCTGACCCGCGTTTGGTCTGTGGAAGCCTTTAAAGGCTAAATATGAACGTCCAATTTCGAAAGCGGAATCAAAAGATCAAAAGCCTTTGATTTGGCCCGCAAACCTGAACAAAGCTCGTGGCCAGACAATTTGCGGCGTGTTTGTTCTCCTTTGACCGTCCAATGAAATTACCTCCTTTCCTTTGCCGGCTGTTTTTCATAATTAATAGGGAATAATATTCGGGAATTTCCGGGAAGGGCTAATTAATTATGTGGTTAGATAACTAAGTTTTTGTAAAACGTTCAGGAATTTTTTGGGGATAGTAATACAATATCGTTTTGTATTTGTTAACTAACAAAAACAATATGCTTCCGTGATTAGATTAAATTAAACGTTACCTTTTTCCAATAGGGAATATGCAAGGTTTTTTATTTCTCACATTTCAGTAGCCTTGGCATTATCAAATCAATCAATGCTTTTCTTCTTGTATAGTTTAGACATACTTAATCGAGTGAGATCACTTATCGTTTCCACCCTGTATATTATCTTGATAAGTGAAAGGTCACTGACTCACTCACTCACTAATCACGAAATCTCAGAAACTACATGTGCTAGGAGTCTCAAATTTTGCATGGGGGTTCCTTTTAGAACGTAGGTCACTAAGACGGGATTGTCCAAATTCAATTTCTAAGCGGGTAAAACGGGATCCACGCGTACGAAGTCGCGGGAGCCTATTATTTTCAATCCCTAACAACAAAGATAAGCCATCTATTTACAACCCCCTAACTCTCAAGATTTGAGGCCAAGAATAAACTCGGAGTTTACTCTGAAGATTAATACAAGAATTTATTATGTATCATAATTCTATGTCAGCTTGTACAACTCCTGAAAATTCGGATTAAACTTTAAACTTGCTGATAAAGTTAC